ATTTTCCTTGTATCTTTTCCTCCGCCGCTGGTGGCCCTTCCGCAGTTCGGCGACATTTGCTGCGGAGAGTCCTGTCCGATGAGTAGATCTTCCGTTTGGGAGCCGGGTTATAGTTGCCGTTATTTCTCCTGGCTCTCTTTGCATTCGTCGTACTTCTCCCTTCTTCATTCTGGGGGTGGTCGTGCGCTCTCTTTTGTGGTCGGTGGAACGGCTTCTTTTTCTTGTTACCTTCAATTTTCCAACGGGGAAACTTTCTTTTCAATTGCTCCTGCCTCCTAATGGCTTGCCCTTGTGACTTGTCGTTGTTCCACCTCTGGAGCTTGTGCCTGCCGTGCCGGATCCTGCAAAAGATCTTTGAAATATTTGCATTTTATTACGATCATAGTAATGGTTTTATTTGGTCAATGTTTGCGGAGCATGTTTCACCATTCCTGGCTTTTAACACCACTACAGCGTGAGTTATTTTTTCTATGACATATGGTCCTTCAAATCGTGGAAAAAATTTGGCGGTTTTATCTTCTGGTGCTGAAGAAAGTGAATGCTTAATTTTTAATACTTCATCTCCTACTTTATAAGTTACTCCCCGTCGTTTCAAATCATAATAAGTTTTTGTTTTCTTTGTGCTACTTCAGTGTTCTTTTTTGCTTCTTTAATTAATTTTTTCTATATCACCCATTTTAAATTCTGGGGCTCTTTGTTGAACATAAAATAATTTATCTAACGGCGTTATAATCTTTCTGCCTAAAAATAACTCAGCAGGAGTTTTGCCCGTTGTATCATGTTTTGCGGTCCTAAGGGCGAAAGCAAATTCATTGACATAGTTATCCCAGCTTTTATGAAAATTTTTTAACATAACTACGGATAATTTTCACTATATTTCTATTGACCCGTTCCGCTATATTTGATTGCGGCCGATACGGGACCATTTTTAAATGACGTATGCCCAGTTTTTGGCACATGTCTTCAAATATATTACTTACAAATTGAGGACCATTATCCGATATAACTTTTAGGGGCGCCCCGTATTTTAAAATATATTTATTTAAAATAGAATCAGTAACTAATTTCGCGGAGGCTCGTTTTAAGGGAACAATTTCGGTCCACTTACTAAAATGATCAACCATAACAAGGAGATAGCGACTTTTATTTAACTGACTTTTTGGGAAAGGGCCCAATAAATCGATGCCAATTATTTCATTTGGAAATTCGGATTTAATACTATTTAGAAACCCGGCCGGGCGGAAATTAATATAATTAACTGCTTGACATGTTGGGCAGGACTGGACATACGCCCTTGTTAACTTTTGCAGTTCAGGAAAATAGACTGCCTCGCGTACGCGTTGGATAGTTTTTCGAATACCAGCATGAGAAGCTAAAGGGCTGTCATGTAACTCCTGCAGGATATTTAATCTAAGACTAGCTGGGATAACAGGTCGAAATTCGTTGTTGGAATTTGTAGTTTTTGTATAAAATAATAGACCATCTATTAGTTCGTAATGGGCCGCCCTATTTCTTATCGCCACAATATCTTGGTGGCTAAAATTTTCAGGATCCTTTAAATACTCATAAATGTTTCCAAACTCAGGATCCTTACCCAGTTCGGTTATTACAGTTTCTCGGGAATTTATTGTACATGCTGTGAGCATTGCCACCTTTACAGTATTACCTTCTTCATCTATTTTTATTCTGGATAGGGCATCTGCTACGATATTTTCCTTTCCGGGGGTATGCTTGATTACCAGATATATAGCTTGAGTGCCCATCTTATTAACCTTGGGGATAAGTTTTTCCCTGAGTACAATCTAGTTACCGCCGCATGATCAGAATACACTGTTATTGGCGCCCTTCCAAAATAGACTCGGAACTTTTGCACTGCTAACAGAACTGCAAGTGCCTCTCTCTCGGTCGCGGAATAATTTCTTTGTGTTTGATTTAAAGTTCGACTAAAAAATGCCACGGGCTGCTGATTTTGCGAAAGTACCGCTCCTACCGCATAATCCGAAGCATCCGCTGAAATTTCTAAATTCTCATCCTTTTCAGGAAATTTCAACACAGGGGCTTGCGTTAATGCTTGTTTTAATTTTTCGAAAGCACTATTGGCTTCGGCCGTCCACGAGAATCTTGCCTTTTTCCTTTTTAATTTTAACAATGGTTCAGCAATAGCTGCAAAATCTTTTATAAAGGACCTATAATATGAACAAAGTCCTAGAAAAGAAGAGAGCTTCTTCATTCAGGGGCTGCAAATTTGCACTTTTCGACATTAACTTTTAGACCGGCCTTATTTAATAAAGAAAACACCTGTCTTAAATCCTGCACATGTTGGTCCAGTTTATCACTAGTAATAATGATATCGTCTAAATAGATAAATGTGGACTTTCCAAGAACAGGCCTTAACACAATGTCCATACATCGCTGAAATGTTGCCGGTGCCCCTGAAAGGCCAAACGGCATACGCAGGAATGCATAAGTGCCAGACTTGGTTATAAAAGCAGTCTTAGGCACGTCCTCCGGTCTAACCCCTATTTGAAAATAACCAGTCGTTAAGTCTAAAGTCGTCATATATTTGGTAGACGTTATGTTCCTTAGAATTTCTTCAATAATAGGTAACGGATATACCGGATATTTAGTTATGGAGTTTAATTTACGATAGTCAATCGCGAAAACGCCACCTTTTTGGATGTGTTAATGGATAGTCATTATTTTTCTTACATAAAACCACCGGGCTAGCATAACTACTTGAGATGGGCGTTATGATCTTTTTACGTAGCATATCGGTAATGTGCCATTCTATAATTTTTTTCCTTTATTCTTATCATACCGGTATGGTTTGTGGCGAACTGGCATTGAATCTCCGGTGTCAATACTATGGTTAGTAACCTTGAGTAAATCCTGGAATATCACTAAATAACGAAGCAAATTCACTTACCACTTGTCGGATTCTTTGTTGCTCTTCATTAGGCAGGTGGTCAAGGTTTAACATTGGCGGTTCTGTTTTTTCTTCTCGAACTGGTTTCATCGTCAGCTTAAGGGACGCTTCATTAAAATCCAGCGTTGCTTGTGCCTCTGAAAGAAAATCTATTCCTAAGATAATATGTGCTTGCAGATTCTTTACTATAAAAAACATAACCTTTACTTGTTCGTCCTTGATACGGACGTATAGCGGTAATTTACCTATGCACTTACATCTTTCTCCTTGCGCAGCTAACACTGTCGTATTATCCGAATTATATATGCGATATTTACGAAAATACTTCCTAAAAAAATCTTCTGCCACACAGGAACACTGCGCGCCTGTATCCAGGAGTGCGGTGGCTGGGATATTATTCACCAACACTTCAATCTTCGGAAGAGTCAAATTTTTCACCATTACTGTATTTAACTTGAAGGAAGAGGGGTTTTCTTGGCCTTCGGATTTCCGCACCCTCCCGTCAGCAGAAATCCGTTTTAGTTTAAATTTTTTTCCTTTCCATGCTTTCCTTCTTTTTCCACTGGCCTTGAGACTTTTTTCCTGGATTGCTATTGAACTGTCGACGTTCGCCGGCTGTTTTTGAATGCTCGGGTTTCCTTCCCCACTGATTCGCTTTGCTTCCGTAGCCGTGTGCTTGACTTTCCTGTTGTCTTGGCGCACCAAATTGGTTTCGTTGCTCATATTGGCGTCTTCTGTCAATGTCCGCTGTTCTTCTACTTTCAAACTGGATTGCTAGCTCAAATAACTTTTCCAGTGTAGTCGGATTTCTTAATTCAATAAAGTCTTGCACTTGGGGAGTAACCTCGGCAAAATCACTTGAATTATCTCAGGATCCGGACGGTTTCCATACAAGAGTTTGAAGACGTGAATTTTTCTTAAAATAAAGCTTGAGAGATTTTCGATTCTTTGCTGATATATGCTGAAAAGTTCCGTTTCTAATTTCGCACGATCCCTTACGACAGGGAAGGCTTTTACTAGGGCAGTCTTGAAATTTTCGTAAGTATAGGTGGGACTTCCTGCTTGACCCAAGAGACTTCTGCCTATACATTTGAACCAGTTAAGCGCTTGGCCCCTCAAAGCGCTGGTAGCTAAGGTAACTTTTTGAAACTCGTGCACGGGGTAGAGCATGAAGTGGTCATCCAATTTTTCCAAAAAACTGGTTACCGGTGAGTTTCCATTAAATGTTGCTTCTGGTTTCATCGAAGCGCGCATGGTCTGGACGATGTAACCAAATCCTTCCAGGGCGGCAGCTGGCATTTCTGGATTCTGAGCCGCTTCTGCAGGCAGCACAGGTTCTTCTTGAAACTCGGCCATGGTTATTCTTCTTCGTTGGGCGCCACTATCAGGTTCAATGTTCCGTCTTACTTGCTTCGGGAACATGCAAGGACCTGACTCGGAACAGAGAGCTTACTAAAGCTATGTTCAATAAATGTGGGAAGTAGACAGGATACACAGGAAGGGTATACAAAACCCTTTATTTTTTCTCTTTTTACAATAATTTCCGTACTTCGGAATACAGAGACCCCTACTTGTGGTCTGAACGTAAGAATATAAAAATATTAACTAAACTCTAACTTTAACTTTGGAATAATAAACAAGGGCCTACGTGGAAGATTGGCCTTATATTAACAGGAAGCCGTATGTAGTACAGAGAACTGTTAACACTACAATACGTTTAAAATTATCAAGAGGATTAAAACCTCTGGCCTGGAAGGCAACCAGCAACCGAGTAAAACTTCTAAGGCAAGCGGCCTGCTTCGACTAACTCCTTCCTCTCTCTCGCTTGGCAAAAAGCCACAACTTAAGTACTTGGCGTTCGCCAGACAAATTTGCATAAATAAGTTAACGCTTTTAATTCTGGCCGGAAGTAGAAAATAAGAAGTGATAGTAAAGATTTAAAATAAAATAAACGTTTAGTTTAAAACTTTAGATCCTTTGATACTTGGAAAAAAACTTTGGCTAGAGTAGAAAGATTAGATTATTTTACGCCGACAATGAGACGCATGCGGTAAATGTTAACAAAAATACTTACTGAAGAAGTCATTTCAACAAATTACGCTGGAAGCAATGAAGAACGATGCCTCCAATAGTTTTAATCTCAAGCATAAAGGGAAGGCAAAGTTTAGAAGCCAGGATATCCTACCTGCAATTTAAAATTGCAAAGAAATTATTGAAAAAAGTAGAAACTACCTGAACACTCAAAATAAAAATTAGGAGTAATGTTTTTTGTTCATTATTTAATTAAATCTAGCTTTTTGATAATAAATGTTGTGCTGTATATATGGTAGGCTACGAACTGCGCAGAATTTAATTGAAGACCCTCTCCTTATCTAAGTTCCAACTTCCCTACAAGTATTATTTACGGCATAGTAGAATCGTCTTCCAATTTTTTAATATTGTTATATATATATATATATATATATATATATATATATATATTACCGTGAAAGACCGAAATTAGAGAATGTCGACTTTCACCGGAGAATGTTAACATTCACCAAATACGTTGGTGAAAGATCGAATATTGCACTACATTCTTGTATATTCGGACCCTCACCGGTGTATGTCGACAATCACAGATATGCTCTGGTGTAAGTCGAAAAGAGAGGTCATAAAGTGCCATAATAGATTAAGTTGTTGCAATAAATAAGATTTGAATCACATAAGTTAGTAAGTTTTTTATGACTGTTATTTTATTTTCTCATTTAGAACGTACTGTATAATGAAGTAAATTTTTAACTTCTGTTATTTTCCTTTCTCATTTTGAAGGTACTGTGTGTTTTAGGTTCTCATGTTCTTAAGTTCTTATTTCAAGTCTCATGTTCGTTTATTAGCGACTGAATTACGGAGAAGAAAATATAATATTGTTATATGTGCAACATTTTTACCATTAGTACATGGTGAATGTCGACATTGACCGGCGTAAGTCAGAAATAAGAGTGTTTGGAAAATATTTCGGACATACACTAAGAGACTATGTGAATGTTGACATTCACCGGTGAAAGTCGACATTCTCCAGATTTCGGTGTTTCACCGTAATATATGTATATATATATATATATACAGTAATAGATAGATTTAGGTATATAGATGTACATAGAATACCGATATATAGATATAAATAGACAGACAGATAGATGCAGGCACATAAAATAATAGTATTTTCACTTTAGGTTAAACAGATATGGGAGAATTGTCTTCCTTTTTTGTGACAAAGAAATTTTCAGGCAGCTGTATTTGATCCAAAAAATGAAATATTTTATTCTATTTCGGTTATAAAAGCATCTTCCTTCTCCAGCCTTAAATAATTACGTGGAATGCGTATTTTGCCTTGGATTTGTTGCAGAAGAATTCTGAGAGAAGCTGGCTCATATTCCTGGTACACGAAGAGAAAATCACCAGTATTTAAGTATACCGAGAAAAATAAATTTGTATAATTTTATTACACTTCATTTTCAGTGATCATTTCTTCTGATTTGCTTCTGATTTTTCATAGTACTATAAATTACTTTTGACACCAAATAATATAGCTTTTCAAGTTCAGCAAGTGAAATATGTTTTTTAATTATTTTCAGGTTTGTAAAATATAAGACCCAGAAAATTTATGCTTCTTTGATAAGTACAGTAAAGTATGCGGGGCCTATCTATGTAAGAAAAGGAATGTTTTAGAAAAGAAATTTATAAAGAAAACTAACTTTTATTGTGAATACACATGGAATAAATCACGAAAACTCTCATTCAGCCATCCTGTTCCCCAAGAACCGGACTAGAACCAATCTACTAGTGTTTCTCCGTCACTAACAGACTTCTTATATACTTAATCACCAATATTCTCATAGATTTATGTAGATATTTATGGAAATGATAACAATAAGCAATTTCTCTAGTGAAAATAGTTCATGCCTACCACTAATTTCAATAAAGCGGAGAGGACTTCGAAACAAAATTTACAAACTCCACTCAAATCGGTCTGGACAACCAGAACAAGTACTGTGCTGTCGATAGTGTTTTTTCAGAAAAGAATGCGATAACGTAATTAATCTGAGTATGTCATCAAATTTTTGTTTTCCAAGATTAGTTTCCTGCCTAGCTTAACAAAATATTTCTTTTAAATTATACTCATAAAAATCCTCTTATATGATATACATGACGTCTGAATTATGTGACTAAGTTCTAAAACTGCAACCATACTGCACATGAAATATAAAAAAAAAATTCAAACTATACTCAAACTAATCTCATATTTTATTACACAAACGTATGCATCAAAACCTATCTATATCTTATAAACGTATATGCAGTATGAGTAAAAATATTCACAGTTATATGAACCAAATCTCTAGTATATATATATATGGTCGATAGGACTGCAGAGACATTAGGTATTTTTTGAAAGCAGGAGAGGTTGGTCATTTTACTTAACCTTTTTCCGCCAAACTAAGTTAATGGCGCTATAGGGTTAGGAATTCATCCTAGCCGTTGCTAGCGATCTGATGGTTAGGCCACATTTTTACATTTTACATTAATTTTCAGCTTCTTGGATATAATTCTTTTCATTCACTTGCTTCATTATTTCCAAGATGCTCTTGTTGTAGTGATAGTCCGTGAACAATCTATTCACAGGATATGTGATGCTGTCGGAAGGAAAGAACTGCTGTCGAAGGTGTTCTGTCAGAGGGCAAGAGAGCAGGTAAAGAAGTGCGTCCGCGTCTTACACTCGAAGACCGCAAGAACAGTTGACGTCCCGCCTGAGAAATCGTTTGTGATATGCTGGGAATTTTCCGTGGTTGGTACAGGCGTGCAGGAAGAGTCGGTTGCATTTGAGCCTCGCTTGAGTGTAGGTATTGGGAAGATTTTGTAAGTAAATCTTCCTGTCTCTTCTTCTTTTTATCGTTATGACCATGCCTCTTGGAACGTCGTCTTCAGAAGCCTTTTTGCAACTTTTGCGGAAAACGGAACTTCCTTTTCAATTTCTTGTTTGAGAGCTGCGGTCTATAACAGTGAAAATATAAGTACCTACATAATAAGGACATTTGGATAAATGGGTTAAAAAACTCAATAAAATAAAGATAAAAAAGTACTCACTGTTGTTGTTTTTTTTAATTTAAAAGAACAATATTTTTTTTGTGACACTGTTCAAAGCATGTTTTGTCTCTTTGGTACATGCGTAGACTCACACTGCACGTTTCGCACATACATCGTGTTCTATGAGGTTTCTTCCTTGTGCTACAAAATGTATACTGCCAGGATTTGGCTTTGTAAGGATCGTTCGTTTCCCGTTCATACTTATTTTATTCGTATTTCGTCACAAAATATTCAGAAAATATTTTAAATTTAAATAAAACTTTAACGCAATTTCTATTTTTAATTATAGCAAAGTACATATACATTAAATTTAAACCACAGGAAATAATTTATAAAATCACAATCCTAGCTTGGGGAGCAAGGATGTTGATGTCAGAGAAAAGTATTTGGAAAAGAAAGACCTTTTTACTGGGCAGGTGCATGTATTGTTTAGTAATAAAATAACTCTGTGGTTTCAAAGCTCTTTATATATATCCGGGTAAAAATAAAGATGCCTATTTGAAAAGCAAGCGAACGCCATTGAGAAGCAAACGCCAGTAGTTTCAAGGCGCGACCACCGAGCCTCTAGAGGATTGTAAGGATTGTGACACAGAGCTCTAGTAGCGCAGTGGTCGCGCCCTGAAATCACATAGCAAATGCCATACATATAGAGGGTTCTTTTTATATATGCAGTTTAATTACTGCAATTTTTTATTGTTTATGATAGAAATCATGATGTGCGATGACTAACTTTTGAAATTTAAAGTTGTTTATATTAATAAAAGGAAGTTATTTTGTCTCATCGAAATCGAATTTTAAAAGGCATCCGATCTGAAGTATTAATACCTAAAACATATATGATTCTACAGTCATTTTGTGTTATTTAGATGTTAAAGAATCAGTAATCAATTCGTTTTCACTCAAAAATTTAGGAAAAAAGAGGAGAAAAAAATTCGGAAAATGATGGTTTCAGGGCGCAACCACCGCGCGTCACGTCAAAGGGTTAAAAGGCTGGAGTTATTTAGAGGCTCGGATCCTTTGTTTTAATCATGAACAAAACCTGAGCTAGAGTTTCTAACAATACGGATTACTGCATGAGACTAATGACGTCAAAATGGTGCAGCACAGATACTTTGAAAGGCTTATAATTTCATAACTAAATGACTCCCTTCCAAACTTTTGGAAATAGGTTACTCAAAGAAGGATCTTGATCAAATAGCAATTTAGAGTCGGAAAAGCAAGTGGGCTGAGAAAGCGAGACATGAACGAACAACTAACAACTGAAAAAATCATTTTGTTCATCAAATGTAACAGTTGTGGCGTAAGGTATATTTTTATTTTGTAACTGCCCACATAGCACAAAAACATCCTTGGGATATCCCAAGGATGTTGCTCGCGGGATATGCGCACATCCTCAGGACATCCCGGAATATCCCGCGAACCTCCTAAACACCTCCTCCCGAGTGCTTAATGTCACATCCCGGGATATCCTCAGGACATCCTAACCAAGTCCCATCGACAGCGTGCGGGATGTTATTAGGATATGAACTCCTACTTACTACATCCTCAGGACATCCCGGGATATCCCACAAACCTCCTAAGCACATCCCATTATATCCTAAAAACATCCTATCTATGTCCCATCGACAGCATATGGGATGTTATTAGGATTTAAAGTCCTACTTACTACATCCTCAGGACATCCCGTAATATCCCAATTTCCTCCTAAACTCATCCTCCTGAGCGCTTAATGTCACATCCCAGTATATCCTTAGGACATCCTATCTACGTCCCACCGACAGCGTATGGGATGTTATCAGGATTTGAAACACTAGTTACAATATCCCTTTAACCTCTTAAATACATACTCTCAACTGCTTAGTGTCACATCCCAGTATATATATACAGAGGAAAATTCCAGTGAAAGTATGTGAAGGTGTGATGATCTAAAACCTACTTTTTTTACACAGATAGTCTCAAATCGTTCTCCTATGGTTACTATGGAAAAATCAGAAATGTTGAAAATATTTATACAACTTATTATGTTTTTAAATCTGAATTTGTGAATATATTAAAACT